ATTGTAAAAAAAAACACAAAAGAATATCACAGATATTGTATCTGCCTTAGTAACACACACACGCACTCACACACTGACTTACTTTCTGAAGAAAAAGGTAAAAAAATGAAAGTAACAGCTTTTCCTTCGGTCAAGTGTGAGCAAAGCCCTTCCTACTAACTGATTTTCCCCAAGTATAAGTACTTGATACTTTGATATTTCTTTTTGATTTTAAGAAAACAGGTGTCATTTTTTAGTAGTCAGTGACTGGAATCACAGTAAAGCTCTACTTTTTGGTGCCAGCACTTGGAAGATGATAGAAGGAGTTTGAACAACTGTGGGGAAAGAATTAGGATGACTCCTGATGTGACAAATGTCAGTTTATGAGAAACTTTACTGGTTGCTAAATCCCAGCTCTCTAAGAATAAAGCAGGGATGCTCACTGTTACGGCATCATCTATATGTCTTCTCAAAGCCTCGTGGGCTCTAGGTGGGGCTGTTAAGAGGTGCTGGATCTGGGGTGTGTGCTATTGGGAGTAAGGGGGAGTGGTACTTGATTAGTTCACTGATTGGTTTATCATAGTTCTGGGTGTGGATAATGCAAAGGTCCACTCTGAGTGTTAGTGCCACCAACCAAAATACTTGTAGCCTGGATGGGAAATAAGGAAAATGAGGCTCGATGCTTCGCTGTGTTCTGCCTGCCCTTCCATGGACAGTTTCTCCTCTGTGATGTCCTCTGCCATCCTGCCCTGCCTTAGGAGGGCCAGCTGACCACAGAGTGAAACTCAAACTGTGAGCTGAAATGCATCTTTCCTCCTTTAACTTCTGGGTGTCAGGTGTTTTGTCTCAGCAATGAGAAAAGTAACTAAGAGAATGAGATATACTGGTAAAATGGAAAAATCAGAATGAGATCTCACATTGAAAAGATCTATTTTCTAGAAGCTCTTTGTCCCTTGCAGACAGACATAGGGACATAGTCTCCACTCAAAGAAACCAGGACTCCTCAGCCCGTGATATCTACTGCTCTGGAAAAGCAAGTTTGCTTTCCATGATGTGTGGAGCAGTGCTCAAAGAGGAAGCTGTGAGTCCTAAAACCTTCAGTAGTAAGAGAGTAATTGAGAAGGATCAGTGTGATCATGTTTAATAGGGCTACGTGGAGTCTCTGAGACATGAGTTCAGCATAATATTCAAAAGAGAATGATTGAAATAACATATATAGAAGAGCTAAAAGTAGTTGTAGTTGTAATGTGAAGAAGAGTTAGTACAGTATCCAAGGTCAACCGGCACTCAGTTTTAATAAGAAGTGAGTCTATGGGTGTTTTCTCTTCTAATTATTCATATATCTGTCTGTGAGTGTTGAGAAAGAGCAAGGGAAGCCCTAGGCATAAAGCTGGGCTGGACGCTCAGCCAGGCTGTGTTACTCTACCATTGGACATTAATACTCTCAGGGAATATCAAGTTCGGACACCATTGCCCTGAGACCATGATACAATGACACAGAGCAAGAGCACTTCGCAATTGCACCTATGCACAGACAAACCCACGTCTCGGGGCCAGCCACACAGTACCAAGCTCCCTCAGCTGTGGTGTAAATGTGCCTCTAAATAGCTTAGGTTAGAATCTTAATCCCCAAATCCCTATGCTGCCGGAATTTGGAGGGGGCCTTTGGGAGGTAATTAGAATTAGATGAGGCCATAAGAGTGAGGTCCTCATGGTTGGACACACGCATTCATAAGAGAGAGATCTCAACTGAATCTTGCTTGCTCTGTCTCACTGCGTGACACCCCACACATTACGACAACGCAAATATCTCTTCAGCAGATGCTGAAGCGACACCAACACCATCCCCTCCCTTAGACTTCCCACTTTCCAAAACCGTGAACTAAATAAACCTCTATTCTCTATAAATGAACCGGTGTCAGGTAGTTTCCTACTGCCAAAGAAACAGAATGAGACACTGTGTTGGCTATACAGAAAGGCTGCTGTTACCTTTGACCCAGTATAGTTTATCCACATTGCGGCCCTCGAGGTAGCAATGGTTCCTACAATGTCCCTTTCTGTTCCCGGCAACAGCAGCTCTCGCCATTCCTGGGCAGATCCATCTCCAAGTGCTCATATTTGTTCTCTGTTCTTACTTCAACAGCAGAGTGGCTCCCCTGGCCCAATGTTTGTCCATCCAGTGCAAAAATCACTGGTTCCCTGCTCTTCTTCCATACTGCCTCTTGTAGCAGACATGAGACAAATAGGTGTCTTGTTCCTGAGGCATCCTGCAGCTCATAGTCGTCACAGAGGCTAAACCTAAGCAAGCTTCAAGGTTTACTTAGTCTTTGTTGACATAAGAAACACTCAATGGGGGAATGACAGAGTTGGAAAATATGTTGTCTGCTTCCCACTTTTCCTACAGATAGCACCTGTGCTGTGCGGATTAAGATGAAAATGGTGGCCCAGGTTACTTGTAAAGGACAGGAAGACCACTTTTGTTGAATACAACGACTCTTCCTTTGGGTACACAGATATCCAATGGCTGACTGGACAGCACTGCCAATGGACATGTTCACCTGGGAAACATTTTGTCCTGAACCACAATCCAGAGTGAATTTTACCTCGACTTGCTTAGTCTGACTTCTTCTACTTTTAGGCTGAGGATTCCTAGCAGCTGTTCTACCAGGAAACATCAGACCATGAAGTACAGCAAAAGTGGCTGTACCTGAGATCTCCGTATTCCCAGAAAGAACAGGGAAGTTCATTTCCTTCACTAGCCTGTCTTTTCCATCATTATTTCTGTCCTCTGTGACTCTCTGCCCTCATGTCATTCAGAAGTTGATTTGCAAACAAGCTCCCATTTACCCATTCATTACTTGGCCCTGAATAAAACCTTTCCACCTCCCCAACGTTGCTCTCTCCGGCATTGGTTCTCCCACGGGATGAGCTTCCAGATGAGGGTTCAGTAAAAGTGGCTGTGTGACCCTGTTCTAACCCACAAGACTCGAGGGCAAGGCTCTGAGCAGCTTCTGGGGAAACTTAGATGGAGACAGGACAGTTTTATGACAGGACAGCTGGCTGCTCTTTCCTCTCTTCTTGCTTCAAATGTGGACTGACTCGGGATAACACGGGGTTTGGAGGTCATGAGACCTGGGGAACATGAGCCAAATCAGAGAACCAGAAAGATGGGAAGACAGAAAGAGCAGGATCTTGAGGGACTCCACATATTTGGAAATAGCTTACATCCTGCTTCTCATCTTTCCTTGTCACTTTTGGCCTTGCTCGGATCCTCATCTGAGGCTTAGTTATTTGCTTATGAAGGAAATGCTCGCTGCTGCCTGCCTGCTACACAGGGAGTCCTTATGGGATGAGTTTGCCTGCAGCTTAATTCCCAGAAAGGTGGTTGGTGGGGAGAGAAAGGAGATACTGGGAGGAAACCCAGGTGGCACCTGCCCAGCCCTTATTCTGGACACCTGCACAGAGCACATAAGGACTCTTTCTTTCCCTTTCACCTGTGGCCTGAGCTCTCCCCAGGAAGCAGAGAAAAGATGCTGAGCAGAGATTCTCTCCCTGTCCATGGCTGCAGGGCAACCTCCTTGGCCAGGGACAGAGGGAGTTAAGACAGCAGGCCACTTCTGAAGAAGCTTTACAGACCTGCCAGGGTCAGGTTCAAGTTGCTGAATCTAGAACCAAAACCTTCCTTTCTGCTCCAGCTCCTCCTGACTCACCTCTTCTTTCACACCATGCACCTTGATGCCAGGCACCTTCCATGACCATGATCTCCATTCCCAGGCCCCAGGGCTTTGCTGGGGCTGTGCCCTCACCTGGGATGTGTTCCCCACTCTCCCCTCCATGTTAAGCCCGGCTCACAGACCACCGTCCTCTCTGCTGGCTGCCCGAAGGCCTCCCTGGCTTCCTTAGAAGGTGGTGAACTCCTTGGTACTTGTATCCGTGTCATCTTCTGTGGGCAGCTGTCTCCCCAAGAGACTACACCCACCCAGCAGGGGCTCTGTTGTCATCTCTGCAACAGCCTCTATAAGTCTCAAAGAACCAATGTATGTACCCTCTGCCCTAATGCCACAGGCTGGCCCAAACGTGGGGTGTGAGAGGTATTCCCTGGACACAGGATCCTCCAGCCACTGAGCACGTCACGCAGGTTCACTTTTCCTAGCAGCTGAGTAAGTCTATTAATGTTTCTTCTTTGCCTCCATGGTCAGTTCCTTCTGGCAGAGAACTGATAAGACTATGGCTCACATTGCATGCAAATTACCTGGCTACTTTCAAGTAAACTTGACAGTGCTAGAAGACTTCTGAGAATTTCCACTTATTTATTTATAGCTCTTTCCTTAAGTGTAAATACATTTATATGAGGACAAAGAAAAAGTGAAAAGCTTAGGACCCAGCTACAGTGTGAAGAGAGGCAGGACCTGAGTGTGAACTTCTAAAGCCCCTTCCCCAGGTGACACCCAGGTCCAGATGTCAGGCTCAGCTCCTCGCCTTACTCTCCTGCTTCCTAATGCTGCCAGGGACTCTTGCGGGGAAGGGGTAGGGGTCCTTTGCTTAATACCCAGAAAGGCGAGCTAATACAAACAGATTCAGCTTAAAACTAGTGGTTTGCATAACCACAAAATAAGCAGCAGCATCCTTCACTGGCCATCTGTAAGCTCACAGTCCCTTCTCGGTTATGCAGTTATTGAAGATTCTAGAGTTTCTGAAGATGATCATCATTTTCCATCTAACTGCGAAATGTGCCCTGGGTGTGACCCAGCAACTCAGCCCAGGTCTTACCCTAGCACTAGAGCAAAGTGTGCAAAGGTGTGAGGATTGTGTACAGAATGGCTTTACTTTTAACGTCAAAAAGGGGGAAATAACTAACTCTCTAAGCAGAGAGGGTATATAGCAGAGTTCATTAACAGAAGGGAGTCTGATATAAGCCTTAAGTGGATGGGAAAGAGGAGAAGCACCTCATAAGAAAAGACCTTTGGAGTCCTAAAGATACAGCCTGAAGCAAAAGAGAAATGAGGGAGTCCCCAACTTACCAAGGATTCTTCTCCTGGCTGCGTTTGAACACAATCCAGCTCTCCTGAGCTGTGTGGATCCAGTCACCAGCTGTGGACTAAACAATGTGCAGAGGCGTCCTCCGGGCAGATAGAGGCCGGCACCTGATAGAGAAACTGAAATTCACAGCTTCTGAGCAGCTCATCTTCACTCACCCCAAGCACTCTGCCTGCTGGGCACCACCCTCACCCCACCCTGCTTGTTTACTTAGTGAGAGGATCCAGCTGAGCCCCGGGTTCCAGGTCCTTCTAGGCCCAGCCTACCTCAGCTGGTATTATTTGTGGTCTTCCAAAAGAAAGGCCCTCTACAGGTTGCTCCATGTGTCTCTTGGCATGGAACTGAGCCCCCTCCCACCAGCAGCATCAGCACAGGCTTCATTTTTGTTGTACTGCTGTTGTGGGATGTCATGTCCACACAGCTTCTAGATATGGGCTTCCATGGGTTCTTCTGCCAGGAGCACTTGCCTCACCACCTGGAGCTGACCTGCATGGCTTCCCCTGAGACCCCCTCTGACATCCCCCCAGCAAAGTTCATTGTCTGCTGATCTCCTCCCATGGTACCTTCAGGCAAGGGTCAATGCCCTGGCTTTGCCATGGCTTCATGGCTAAAATTATTTAGCTGAAATGTTGTGGGACTTCTGTATTCCTTTAGGCTCTGTGTCAGCCTGGACCAATCTCCATGGAGCCTTATGGACACCTGTCACCCTAGCATTTGAGGGAGGGACAGCAGGTGAAGCCACAGGAACCACTCACCACACTTTAGAAAAGCAACTGCTTGTTCTTCCCCTGATTCAGTCACTAATGGGACATGTACAGGCTCCAAGGAAGAGTCAGTGTGTTCAGCAGAAACAGCCCTAAACTCCCTGAAATGTAACTTAGGAAGCTCTTATCATCATAGTCCACATGGCAGAGGTGTTATCTGTAGCAAAGCTGTAGAGACTAATACTGTACACCACCCAGCTGCACAACCTTCAGTATTAGTGATTTTTAAGTCAAGTAAGGCAACTTGAAGTTACATTTATATAGCTATTTCATCAGTAACAATTTGACATTCCTGGCCACTCTTCCTTGCTTGAGCTTAAGTTTTGTGATTTTTTGGTAACTTCTCTTACCTCTAATCCATCCATATTCTACCAGTATGACTCTAGCTTGAAAGCCTCACAAAACCAAGGTAAAATGGAGAACCTGTTACATATCCTTGGGACATACAATTCTGTTACCACGTGGATCCCCAGGTCACAGTGCACAATGCATCAGAACTTCAGAGACTGTTTGAACCCAGTCCTATGATGGATCATCCAGATTCAACATGAGGGGAAAGTAGGGGTCTCTCCCCTCTAGGGATGGGAACAGACAGCATCTCATCAAGAGTTCTTAAAGACTTGGCATTTAAGAAAGCTCAGCAAGTAATATCACAAGAAGTAATTTCCAGGATGCTTGTAGCTTCAGAGTTGGAGACTTTCCAAAAATCTTTGCTCCAGAAACAATTTTCACTCACAGGGAGGGCCATTGTAATGCAATGGGAAAGCAGCCCTGCACTGCTTCAGAATGGCTCCTGGGAACAACACCATCAGCTGTGGAAGGCAGAGGGGTCAGCAGTATAGGAAGCCACATTCCCTCTACTTGGTCCTGGAGTGGTGAGCTTGGCTCACACACACTGCACACTCTGACTTTAATGCTTTGGAACAGGAACCCACTCATTGTTTCCTGTTTCTTGGGAGTAACATGGGAAGAGGGAAGTATCTTCAAGCTGAGATGTTTGGGGTTTTTTGTTTTTTTGATACCGGGATCGAACTTGGGACCTTGTGCTTGCGAGGCAGGCGCCTGAACCACTGAGCTAAATCCCCGGCCCTAAGCTGAGATGTGATATGGGGCCTTCAGAAGTCATTGGAATGCCCAGCAAAACAAACCTCATAGGGTTGCCAAGCTCAGGGGAGGTTGGAGGGAATTGCATTCAATGTCAACAGAAGCTGCTAATCTCACAGGAAGGGGAAGAGGCAATCACAGGTCCTAGCTACTGGTAACCCACTTGCCTTATCCCAAGGACAATACTATTTGTCTTTCCACAGATGGGAAATTCAGCCCGAAGTAACAAGTGGAAACTTCAGGAAGATTTAGGCCTAAATATACTGATGAAAAGACGAATTCATAATCTTAGTATTTCTCTGTTGAAATCTCGACAAAAAGATATGCAGTTTCGTGGGTATATGAAGTGTAAGAGTATTTGGCATATTTTTCATAGTACAAAGTAAGTTCCAACTTAAAATATGTATTTGATAATTTATACACAAGAGTTTAAATTGAAATGCTCTGTGCTAAGTACTAAGGATATTGCACATAAGCTCTAGCCAGAAAGAGAAAGCTGTCTTCATTTTGGTAGATCCCAAAAGAGGAAGGTTGTGGAATGGCACTAGGGGTTGTACAAGGGACTGTGAGATCCAGCTCTGTAAATGCATTAGAGGGCACTACCAGCCTCTCCTCACCCCACCCCCAGCAGATGGAAAAAGGAGAATCTTGTCTGAGTCAGAGGCATTCAATATATAGACAGTTGCAATTTTTATATTGTCCTGGTGGGTATTTTCCATTCCTAATATATGGTGAACTTTCTTTGTCTCTTCTGAAAACTTTTGTCTTGAAATATTTTTTGTTGGATGTGAGTATAGATATTCTTCTCTCCTTTGGAATCCTTTCTCAGCATATCATTTTTCATCCTGTCCCTTTCAATCTGTGTATGCCTTTGCTGGTGAAGTGTATTTCTTTCAGGCAGCCAATAGTAGGGTCTTATTTTCAAATGCAATGAGGTAATGCATTTTAATTAGAGAATTGAGACCATTTAACTTCTGGGTTAGTACTGAAAACTTATCCCAATTCCTGTTCCTTTGATTTTTTCAATGTATGCTTTTTATTTCATTTTGTTTTGCTTATCTGGTCAAGAAAGAATTATTTTACCATGCTTTTGTGGTTGTATTTATCTTCTGTGTATAGGATTCTTTTAAATATCCTCTGCAATTCTTGTATAGTGATCATGGATTTTTTTCGTTACGCCAATCTTGAAAGGTTTTGATTTCTCATTTGGTTCTAAAGATAACTTTTCTGGAAATAGGTTTCTAAGTTGCTAGCTATATTCTTTTAGTGCATAAAATGCATCCCACCATGTTCTCTTTGGATTCAGGATATTGCTTCAAAATTTGCAGCCATTCTGAAGGGAGTAATTCTATAATTGTGTTGGCATTTGTCTTGCAGTTTTCAGCAGTCTTTCCTTGTTCTCTACTCATGTCATTTTGACTATAATATGATAGAGGGAAGCTCTTTCCTGGTTATGCCTGTTTGTGTTCTAAATGCCTCAGTTTTCTCTACATGTGGGAAATATTTCACCAGGTTCACTGAATAGATTTTTGATGTGTTATATGCATAACTCAGTGTTCTTCTGTATGCCAAAAACTCATACATTTGTCTTAAACTGTGCCCCAAATTCTTTGATGTTTTATTTATAATTTCTTATTTTTTCTTTCATTACTATCTGAAAGTGACAACTTTGTCTCCAAGCTGTTAGATTCTGCCTTCCTTACTAGCCTACTGACTGGGAAAACTTTCCCTATGAATTTTTGATTTGGCTTGTTGACTTTTTCATTTCCCAGATGTCTATTTGGTTCTCCTTCAAATCTCTGTCCATTTATTGTTTTGCTCTTTCATATCCACCATTGTCTTTCTTAATGTTTCAGATGTTTGTGTTTGCTTTTAAGTCACTCATCAGTTCCTAAGTCAATCTTTTGAATTCTCTTTTCCAGTGCTACATCCATTTCATTATCTTTATTTTCAGTTCATGGGGAGTTATGGATCTCTGGAGGAATCATGTTGCCCTGTACTTTCTTATGTTTCTGTGACAATTTGTGTTGATTGTGTGAATGTTATGTGCCTAAAGAGTCAACCATTGAATTTGAGAACACTTCTTGGTGGTTCATGGAGGCATGACCTTGCATGTTATGTCTGCCTCCTCACTGTTTTCTCTCTGAATTTTTCCCTGCCCTGCAAGACACATACACAGCAAGCATCTTCACTGAGATGTCACTGTAAGTTTCCCCTAGACTCATGCAAGGGCTTGTAGAATACCATTTGTTTCACATTGCCCAGTCCATGCCTTTGTCACTGTGCCGGATTCACCATTAGAAATACAGAGTTGGTTAAGCACTTTCTTCCAAATACAGGAAATACCTTGAAGAAATTCTCCTATGTAAATGTTTTCAAAAAACACAAAGTGAAAAAACAAAAAAGACTCCAAACAGTCAGTAGATTGAAACAATGCACATGGCCATACACTGCTCCTGTTGAATGTTGACAGCCAATGGCCCAATTAGTCTACTTCTATACATATCTTAAGAAAATAATCCCAAATATAGGCAGGATTTTTTTTTTTTTACCTGAGAAGAATGGTTAGTATACCATTATTTGCTTAAAAAATTAGAAACAACCTAAGATCCACTAGATAGGGCAGAACAGCAAGGGGGCCTGGACTGCCCAGAGCAGATCCAAGTACAGGACCTTGGCAGGCCTCCAAGCCCACAAGGGATGCAGGATCTTGCAGAAGCAAAGAGGTACAGGCTTTGGAAGCCATGGTATGGGAGCACAGGAAATTTACTAAGACAGGAACTTGTGTACAGGGTAAAAGGCATTGATTTTCAATGAGAAGAGTCATTTACCATGATTGTATATACATTAGCAAATATTTTCTAAAGTAAAGGACTAAAATATAATCATCCAAAACATGAGTTTGGATCACAAAGAGTTTGGTTCAATTTCTGGCCCAAGCACCTCTGTGACCAAGTGGCCATGCTACCTGATGTTTCTGATGGTTTCTTGTGCTTTACGATGGGAGCCACACAGGCAAGCAGCGGAATGTTCGTGATCACCTAATGAGGTGTATGTAAGCATCCTTCCATCACAGACCCGCAGTAAACACTAGCCATCAGCATTCATGAACACAAATGTTCCCAGCCCCATGAAATCAGTAGAACATTCCTTCCCACTGCCCTGTGCAGGGATTCTATTGTTTCCACTGACACAGTCCTCATAGCATTCCTCTCCCTGTGCCTCACAGAACAGGAGGGCTCTGCCTTGGCTGGATTGGTGGAAGAGGAAGCTTCAGCTGGATGACTCCTTTCATTAAATAACAGCCTTAGAGGCTGAGAGACAGAGAACACTCTGGGTGAAGCCTCTTTGAGCCTTTGGTGCTGCCAAGAGGGAACCACGTAAGATCAGAACCCTGGTGATGCTCACTGTTACCCTAGCTGCTGCCTTTCAGTCGCAGTTTGTCTCTTCTTTCACTCCTGTTGGCATGGCCAGGGGGTTACAAGCAAAAATCGCTCAGAGTCCACAGTACTGGAGCCAAGCCTTCTCCAGGAATGGTGCTTTCTCTTTTCTGAGCAGGTCCTGCCAGAAGCCTGAGGTGGCACTGCCCAAAAACCAAGGAGTTGTGAGCAGAGAAGGGGAACTCCAAGGAGGACAAATGGGATCTCCTGACCTCGGGCCTGGGCTTCTGCTTTTTCTCATTATGGCCATGGTCTCACACCTTTCCCTGGTACTCTTTTCTTCTCTTCATTCCCACCTTAACTCCTGCCCAGGTCCTCAGATGAGGACAGAACAGACTCCAAGAAGTGAAAGTCAAGAAAGAAAGACAGAGGGAGGGAAAGGAAGGACTGGGATCAGAGGTGGCAGTGACCTAGAGGATCATCTTGTCTGCAACTTGTCCCCTGCTCATGGACCTCAGTCTGACCTCTGCCGCCTCCAGTCTAGGTGACCTGGAGCCCCGAGATCACTTCACCTATCACATAGAACATGTCTCCCATTGTGTAGAAAGGAGCAGGTGTAACATGTGGCTGTGGCCAGGCCAGAGCCTGGCACACAGTCGGTCCTCCCTGAGTGTGGGTCTCTTCCCTACCTGGGCCCTCTTAGTTCCAAGTGGACTCTTCCCCCTCCCTAAGCTGAGGCTGTGAACGGGCACCAGCCCTGCACTCCCAGTGCCGTGCACCTGCTCACCGTGTATGGCTGACACAGGCAGGGACTGACCCCAGTTATCTCAAGGAAAAAAAATGTCTGACTGGCAAACAAAAATGAAACCGCCCTCCCAGCAATATCAGTGTTGTAAGTAGGAACCATCACTGCAGGGATTTCCAGCGACATCCATTCCCCTTAACCCTTACTCAGTGTTAGTTTTCCCTCTGTCTTGTTTTCTCCCCTTCACTCAGTTATCTTGGACCAAGTCCTTTCCTCAATTCTTCACCGTTCTCAGTTGTGTTCTCAGGAGTTGTGATGAAGAACAAAAGGGTTAGGATAGAGCTTCCCACGGGCCTGGGGTCCTTGAGCCTCTGGCTGGTGCATTCCTGGGGATAAACTTATTGTTGTCTATCAAAGGGACTGGCCTGAGGGCAGAGGTGACACTGGGATCCAGGTCCCTAAGACATGGAGAGACCACAGGCATGTTAGCTGAGGTTCCCGCTGCACCATCCTCAGCAGCATGAAGAATTCCCTCCACTGCCAGGCCTAGACCCTCCATCATTAGCAGGAGGAATCCTCTGTGCAAAATAGATTTACTCAATAGTCTGTGGCTGTAAAAACATTTGAGGACTTCCCAGGTACATTATACAGAAGAATATTTTAAATTCCCCAAATTTTTATTATGTTTTTCTTTTTTTCATTTTATTTTGTATGAGTTGTTTTCTTGTGTGTGTGTTGTTGCTACTGTTTTTGTCTTATGTTAGGGTCTTCTATTGTGGCTCAGTCTGGTCTAAGGCTACTGAGATCCACTGATCCTCTCACCTTACCTCCCACTCGCTGGGAATACAGGCATGAGCACTTACATTTATTGTGGAGAGCGGTGTTAGCCATAGAGACTCCATTTTAACCTTACCCTCCATTATAAAGAGCAAGGAGACTATGTTATGAGGAACCGTGTTCTTGCCAAGTCAGATGTTTATTATGATGAACGTTCTGTAACCCCGAGAAACAAAGAAGCCCATGAGGGTGGGGAATTTCCAAAGAACTAGAGAACAGGGAAGCAGGTGTCTCTGGATAAGGGTCATGATTAATGACCAAACTCACCAAATGTATAAAAGAAAGGTGAAAAGTAAACTTGGGTGCTCGGTCTCTGGGAGCCCTCCCGACTCTATCTCTTTGTCTTTATTTTTCTTCATCCTCACTCCCCCATTCAGGTACTGTTC